TAACAAGCCAGTTTCACATGCAAGCCACTATAGTATGGCAGTTATGTTAACTGAATAGATCTATGAGTATAGGAGAACATGAAAATCTGGAACTGTAACGTGAAGCTATGTATTAATTACTCTGAGAGTGATTGTCATGTACTCTTCCTAAAGTATGTCCATATGCTGACTGATGATGTGTTAAGTTGGAATGGCTGTTGGTTGCTGATACATGTTCATATAGTAAAACATTGATAATTGGAACAATCACCTTCTTGACTGATACTTTACAGAAATTTGATTCCCTCTCCAAAATCTCACGTGATTCCGATAATACAGAATACTGAGGTGGAATTTTAAAATTAAACGAGTCTTACCTGGAAGGTGAAGTTTAATTCTAATTCCACCGATGTATGGAGTATTGAGGTATTATGTGCCCTCAACTCCCAACCCTTTTAGCACAAGGAATCAAATTTCTACTTTAAAGACTGATTACTGAGCGCATGCGCATACTTCATGTAATCCCTCAGTACTTCATACATCGGTGGAATTAGAATTAAACTTCACCTTCCAGGTAAGTCTCGTTTACTTTTAAATTATAGTATATTTTTTCACATTCATTTAAACAAGTTTAAACAAGTTTAATTGAAATACTTGGGATTTTTATGTGCATTCTGACTGGTTTGTTGTATTTTCGCACATAAAATTCATCGAGAAGGGAGAAGTGTCTTCTTGGACGTTACGGAAAAAGGCGAGTGGTTACAAATGGGTCATATGATAAAGCAGCATTGTCGCATTAAAAGCAGTTTTGTCACGCACCTAACCGGCATTGTCACGTGATGAAGCAGTATTGTCACGTGATGAGAAGTGCTGATGGATGATGAACAGATCAGTGAAAACATGGAAGTTTAGTAAGTCGCCATGGATTCCTGACATGATCAATCTGAGACTAGAATAAACATTGTTGGGATCATGTCAAAAGAAGGATAACGGACATATTATATAAAAGAAATCAGCCATTTGAAATTGTCCGAGATTTGTAATATTGCAGCCCATGCTGAAGGAATTTCAAGGAATATACATTTTGAACTGCTCCAACAAATCGATGAAAATGACGAAGGTCCAAAACGAGGCTGTCCAGTTGGTCACGAAGCTGTTTAACGTTCTCCTGAAGAAACATGCAGTCTATTAGTTCATCTATTAGTTGATATCTGGCAATATATGCCAGTAGTGAGACGGTTTGGGTGCTCAGTCTCCATGGTCTCAGTTACCTGTGATTGCATGTCTCCATGGTTACCAGTGATTGCATGTCTCCATATCTACATGGAAGCTCGGGATCTCCATCACTTTATGGTCTAAACTTGAACCTTAACAGAATGCCCGTCATGAAGGTGTGAGTGGGAGTTAAGCAAATCAGGTCTCTCAGCATACCATCATATAAATGCACGGAAGTTGCTAACAATCAGTTTCATCTCCTACCCTAAGCTTTACTTCGGAAAGTATCTTGTTTCGATAGGTGTTTTGCCGACCGAGCGAGCTGTACGTTTTTTAGTCGGTGAAAGTGCCAATCGTGTACGTGTCCTACTCAACTGTCTGAGTACCCGATGTGACTGTTTTGTAGTTGGTGTAGAATCATAGGACGTGTGATGGTAAATGGAATGATTAGGAGTCAAATTGGTACTGGAATATACTGACAAATAATTTGATGAAAAACTTTACCTGCCACGATTTCAGGATGCGCACATAAAATAACACACTGGGCCTTAATGTCTTTAGTCATAGCTCCCTCACTTCACTTCAAGTACACAGTTTCGAATGGCGAGACATGCTCCTCTGTGACGACAACTATCCAATCTCATTTCAGAAAATGATTACAGATTTGGAATCGGATTTGGCATGCTTCAATGTGTGCATAAAGATTAGGGTTGGTCGGTGATAAGAAAGCAGAGCTGATATAAGTAACACAACACCTTGATACCATACACTGTCTATGACTTGTTTCAGTTTACTGGAAGCAAGCAATGGATATACGTTCCTCGACCGTCAGATACGGGATGATTTCGTGACAGCTCACTTTTAAAAAATGCTCGCCCGATGATCGTTCCGTTTATTTAAACCGCAGTTGTGAAATATACGAATACGAAATTGTTTAAAGTTAATACAAATTGACATGATGCTGACATGAGAGCGACTCATGGCAGCCAATGACAGCTTACAACAAGCGTTTTCTCCAAACACTGCAACGATGTCGGTCCGATACGCAAAAATCTCATATTATAAACAACCGAAACCGCGAAAAAAAGATTGTGTAAAGTACAGCCGTGACAGGCATGGTATAATTATGCTATATTTTTGTGGGTAAGAATTCCTGAAACAATCGTTATAAATAGGATACTTGAAATGCAACTTGATGTGGTGTTATCATTTGCAAAGAGTGTGTCCTTTCAATTTACCAGTGTTTATGGGAAGCTTTCTGACACGGCAGGTAGCTAACATAAGTTGGCGGTCTGGCTGTCTAGCTGGGCGTTTTGTGAATATTCGCGTTTTCCCGGCAGTTTGGAAAGAAGTAAGCGTTATACCGATTCACAAAAAGGGAAGTGTAAATGATTGTACAAGTTACAGACCAGTAGCCTTAACTAGTTGTGTATCTAAAATATTTGAGCGATGTGTTTTCAACTATCTCAGAGACAATAACATCTTATCCAATTTACAGTCAGGTTTCATCCCAGGGCACTCTTGAGTGAATCAGTTGACATATTTGTATAATTTCATAGCCAAGGCAATGGACGAAGGTAAGGAAATACGTGCAGTATTTTGCGATATCAGCAAAGCTTTTGATCGAGTATGGAACAAAGGTCTCGTGCCTAAGTTAAAATCATGTGGAATCGATGGTTCACTATTACAATGGTTTAAAAGTTATTTAGAATATCGATCCCAGCGTGTAGTCATAAATGGTTATAGTTCTAATATTAAACCGGTAAAAGCTAGCGTCCCGCGGGGTTCTGTTCTAGGACCACTTCTGTTTTTGGTCTACATAAATGATATTGTTGAAGGCATTGACAGTAATATACGATTATTTGCAGATGATACTTCTATCTATGTAATAATAGATGACCCTTACGTAGCGGCGTTTAGTCTGAATAATGATCTACTAAAAATAGCAAACTGGGCAAAAACCTGGAAAATCGATTTCAGCCCATCTAAAACTAAAACTGTCTTATTCAGTAGGAAACCAAATTCAAATCCTCATCCAAGCTTGTTTTTCAACGACGTTCGAATTGAAGAAACTTCGAGCCATAAATATTTAGGTATAACTCTTCAAAACGGTTGTACATGGGATATACATATAAACGATATCGTTAAGAGAGTCATCCCCATGATAAATTGCTTAAGAAGCCTTAAATATCGACTAACGAGAAACACCCTGAATCCTATGTATACGTCGTTTATACTTCCGATCTTTGACTACTGTAGCCATATTTATGACAATTGTACCAAAACTTAAGCAACAATCTTTGAAAACATGCACTTAGACGCGTTACGTACGATATGTGGAGCTGTTCGCGGCAGCAGTCACGATAAAATCTACGCCGAAACATCCTCTGTTTCTCTTCGCTAAAGAAGAAGAATAGCTAAACTAATCACATTTTCAAAATGTATCATAACAGATTACCCCACTATCTAAACGAACTCGTCCCTCCCTTTGTCTCTCAAGTCAGTAACTATCCGTTACGTAACGCATCGCATTTGCAAACTATTGCCTGCCGTACTGCTCTATATGACAATTCATTTCTACCGGACGCTGTAAGTTTATGGAATGCTTTACCGCAAAATGTTAAATCTCTTACAGACATCAATGATTTTAAATCTGCTTTAAGTCATAGAGATAAAGTCATTCATTTCGATCCAAATATAGGTTCAAGAGTTTGTCAAATCCTCCACTGTCGCTTAAGGTTAGGATGTAGCGATTTCAACGCTGACAAACACAACAGACATATATCAGAGAGAGCAGATTGTTTGTGTGGCCACCCTACTGAAGATGCACGCCATTATTTAATAATAATAATAATAATGTGTCCATTTATATAGCGCCAAACTCCACACTAGGTATGCTCATAGCGCTAACAATCAAGGCCATTTCTTTGTATGTCCCAGATTTGATGCTGTAAGAATAAACAAATTTTATTATACCAATGGCTTTTCATTAGAAACAATCTTATACGGAACGTCTTCCATGGACCCACAAATTCAATCACATATCTTAAAATCAGTCCGTCTATTTATAATTGAAACTAGGCGCTTTAACTGAGCAAGTCATACACTAAAACCTATAATTGTCAAAGCTATACTACTATGGATCCCGACTGCAGATGCCATAAATGTATACAACCATCATGATTTTAATTTTCCGACGACATGCCATACCATCTACTTTCATTTTAGATATCATCTTTTCTTGTCATGATACTGTTTTATATATCTATGTATATTGGAGCGGTCTTCATATAAGTTCTTTTGAGCTTGTTTACCAATCCAGTTCATGAAAATTCTGTCTTTGCTTTTTCATGAAATAGATATGTTTAAACCATATGCAACACTGACGTTCCAAGTAGTGACTCAAACCCGCTCATTCTGATGACTGCGTGCTTACGTTATTGATTTGTGCGTAATGCCAGCTGTGGCTGCCCTTAGGTAAACGATTAGTGATTAGTACAATACACACATCACCTGGTTTTAGTATTCATCAATTCTCTATTTAATCAAATGAAAGGTTTAGTAGGTTTTGTCATCTGCTTTTTATGAAGTTGATTAAACATACATGCATATATGCACTCCAAAACCTTTGTTCGTATCACGGCAACATGGTTTTCTAACATACATGATACCCCTGAATCAAAGCGATGACGTCAGACGCCTAGGCTGCCTGTGATGATAGGTTCGGATCACAAAGTCAACCCAGTTATGACCCTTGGTATCCTACCACAGCATTATAAATATTTACCAAGACTGCACAACTGTTTGACAGATGGATTTTCCAGTAATATGGCTTAATATATTTTTGTCTGACATTTACATGTAGAGGACAAATCAAAACAGAGTGAAACTCGTCTTCAACATCGAAAGAGAAATTTTGATAAGTATTTTCTATAAATTAGAGGAATAGGTTTTGTTAAATAATATTGCAGAGAACAACAATCTATGATATGCTGATAGATAATACATTTCCTTGAACTAGATATCTGTCCAACTATACATTGATAAGATTGATCGTCAATTCTTTGTTTGATTACAGGTAGAACATTTGGGTGAATTCCTGTTTGTACCATATTTCAGCAAAACCAAAAGATGTCAAAATTGAAACTGATAAGCCCAATTTTAGCCCTATTGTTAACAGCAATGTAATAACTGAACCAAAATCATTCCCTCTACTAGAGAAGGCCGTGTGGGATCAGTTAAACAAACAAACCCAGTCCTCTTACTCCTTAAATAAACAACTTGCTTGACTGGCAAAAGAGGATACCACCCCCCTTTGACACACCTGTTCCATGTTATATAAGCTGGCCTCTGTGATATAAGCTGTTCCCTGTTACATGAGCTGTGCCCATTACGTAGCTGTTCCCTGTTCCATAGCCTGTTCCTTGTTAAAACAATTGTTCCAAGTTCGGTTAACTGTTTCTCGCGGCATCAGTGTGTACCAAGGTAATTTTGTTTTCGTGAGCGAGTGAGTCGTTTTTTTTAGAAATAGTATCTCAATATCGTGACGGGGGAAATATGAATTAGACTGAGGGGAATTTACCCGGGTGTTCGGCATGAGGAATGAACATATGCCCCACTGGGTTACCATCACCATCCCCATTCTGTGTTGCTGTATTTAATCCACACTGACACGTGAGCTGCAAGTTAACTAGGGCTGAGTAGTGGTAAATAAATAAATTGCAATATATTGTCACTTTGCCATCAATGACAATCAGAGGAGCGGATCTGTAGTGATGGGGAGGGGTTCTGAGATCTGTAGTGATGGGGAGGGGTTCTGAGATCTGTAGTGATAGGGAGGGGTTCTGAGATCTGTAGTGATTGGTAGTTTGTTCTGAGATATGTAGTGATGGATAGGGGGTTCTGTGATCTGTAGGGAAGGGGAGGGGGGTTCTGAGATCTGTAGTGATGGGGAGGGGTTCTGAGATCTGTAGTGATGGGGAGGGTTCTGAGATCTGTAGTGATGGGGAGGGTTCTGAGATCTGTAGTGATGGGGTAGGGGGTTCTGAGATCTGTAGTGATGGGGAGGGGTTCTGAGAACTGTAGTGAAGGGAGGGGTTCTGAGATATGTAGTGATGGGGAGGGTTCTGAGATCTGTAGTGATGGGGAGGGGTTCTGAGATCTGTAGTGATGGGGAGGGGTTCTGAGATCTGTAGTGATGGGGAGGGGTTCTGAGATCTGTAGTGATGGGGAGGGGTTCTGAGATCTGTAGTGATGGGGAGGGTTCTGTGATCTGTAGTGATGGGGGAGGGTTCTGAGATCTGTAGAGATGGGGAGGGGTTCTGAGATCTGTAGTGATGGGGAGGGGTTCTGAGATCTATAGCGATGGGGAGTTGTTTTGAGATCTGTAGTGATGGGGAGGGGTTCTGAGATCTGTAGAGATGGGGAGGGGTACTGAGATCTGTAGTGATGGGGAGGGTTCTGAGATCTGTAGAGATGGATAGGGGTTCTGAGATCTGTAGTGATGGGGAGGGGTTCGGAGATCTGTAGTGATGGGGAGGGGTTCTGTGATCTGTAGTGATGGGGAGGGTTTCTGAGATCTGTAGTGATGGGGATGGGTTCTGAGATCTGTAGTGATGGGGAGGGTTCTGAGATCTGTAGTGATGGGGAGGGGTTCTGAGATCTGTAGTGATTGGTAGTTTGTTCCTGAGATCTGTAGTGATTGGTAGGGGTTCTGAGATCTGTAGTGATGGGGAGGGTTCTGAGATCTGTAGTGATGGGAGGGTTCTGAGATAAGTAGTGATGGGGAGGGGTTCTGAGATCTGTAGTGATGGGGAGGGTTCTCTGAGATCTGTAGTGATGGGGAGTTCTTCTGTGATCTGTAGTGATGGGAAGGAGTTCTGAGATCTGTAGTGATGGGAAGGGGTTCTGAGATCTGTAGTGATGGGGAGGGTTCTGAGATCTGTAGTGATGGGGAGGGTTCTGAGATCTGTAGTGATGGGAAGGGGTTCTGAGAGATCTGTAGTGATGGGAAGGGGGCCTCTGAGATCTGTAGTGATGGGGAGAGGTTCTGAGATCTGTAGTGATGGGGAGGGTTCAGATCTCTAGTGATGGGTAGGGGTTCTCAGATCTGTAGTGATGGGGAAAGGTTCCCTGATCTGTAGTGATGGAGAGGGGTTCTCAGATCTGTAGTGATGGGGAGGGTTCTGAGATCTGTAGTGATGGAGAGGGTCCTGAGATCTGTAGTGATGGGGAGGGTTCTGAGATCTGTACTGATGGGGAGGGGTTCTGAGATCTGTAGTGATGGAGAGGGGTTCTGAGATCTGTAGTGTGATAGGGAGGGGTTCTGACATCTGTAGTTATGGGGAGGGGGTTCTGAGATCTGTAGTGATGGGGAGGGGTTCTGAGATCTGTAGTGATGGGGAGGGGTTCTGAGATCTGTACTGATGGGGAGGGGGTTCTGAGATCTGTAGTGATGGGGGGAGGGATTCTGAGATCTGTAGTGATGGGGAGGGGTTCTGGAGATCTGTAGTGATGGGGGAGGGGTTCTGAGATCTGTAGTGATGGGGAGGGTTCTCTGAGATCTGTAGTGATGGGGAGGGTTCTGGAGATCTGTAGTGATGGGGAGGGGTTCTGTGATCTGTAGTGATGGGGAGGGGGTTCTGAGATCTGTAGTGATGTGGAGGGTTCCTGAGATCTGTAGTGATGGGGGGTGTTCTGAGATCTGTACTGATGGGGAGGGGGTTCTGTGATCTGTACTGATGGGGAGGGATTCTGAGATCTGTAGTGGTGGGAGGGTTCTGTGATCTGTACTGATGGGGAGGGGTCTCTGAGATCTGTAGTAATGGGGGAGGGTTCTGAGATCTGTAGTGATGGGGGAGGGTTCTGAGATCTGTAGTGATGGGGGAGGGGTTCTGAGATGTGTAGTGATGGGGAGGGTTCTGAGATCTGTAGTGATGGGGAGGGGTTCTGAGATCTGTCGTGATGGGGAGGGGTTCTGAGATAGAAGTAGTGATGGGGAGGGTTCTGGAGATCTGTAGTGATGGGGAGGGGTTCTGAGATCTGTAGTGATGGGGAGGGGTTCTGAGATCTGTAGTGATGGGGAGGGTTCTGAGATCTGTAGTGATGGGGAGGGGTTCTGAGATCTGTAGTGATGGGGAGGGGTTCTGAGATCTGTAGTGATGGGGGAGGGTTCTGAGATCTGTAGTGATGGGGAGGGGTCTGAGATCTGTAGTGATGATGGGGAGGGTTCTGAGATCTGTAGTGATGGGGAGGGTTCTGAGATCTGTAGTGATGGGGAGGGGTTCTGAGATCTGTAGTGATGGGGAGGGGTTCTGAGATCTGTCGTGATGGGGAGGGGTTCTGAGATAAGTAGTGATGGGGAGGGTTCTGAGATCTGTAGTGATGGGGAGGGTTCTGAGATCTGTAGTGATGGGGAAGGGTTCTGAGATCTGTAGTGATGGGGGGGGGGTTCTGAGATCTGTAGTGATGGGGAGGGGTTCTGAGATCTGTAGTGATGGGGAGGGGTTCTGAGATCTGTAGTGATGGGGAGGGGATTCTGAGATCTGTAGTGATGGGGAGGGGTTCTGAGATCTGTAGTGATGGGGAGGGTTCTGAGATCTGTAGTAATGGGGAGGGGTCTCTGAGATCTGTAGTGATGGGGAGGGGTCTGAAATCTGTAGTGATGGGGGAGGGTTCTGAGATCTGTAGTGATGGGGAGGGGTTCTGTGATCTGTAGTGATGGGGAGGGGTTCTGAGATCTGTCGTGATGGGGAGGGTTCTGAGATCTGTAGTGATGGGGGTGTTCTGAGATCTGTACTGATGGGGGAGGGGTTCTGTGATCTGTACTGATGGGGAGGGATTCTGAGATCTGTAGTGGTGGGGAGGGGTTCTGTGATCTGTAACTGGTGGGGAGGGGTTCTGAGATCTGTAGTAATGGGGAGGGGTTCTGAGATCTGTAGTGATGGGGAGTTCTTCTGTGATCTGTAGTGATGGGAAGGGAGTTCTGAGATCTGTAGTGATGGGAAGGGGGTTCTGAGATCTGTAGTGATGGGGAGGGGTTCTGAGATCTGTAGTGATGGGGAGGGGGTTCTGAGATCTGTAGTGATGGGAAGGGGTTCTGAGATCTGTAGTGATGGGAAGGGGGCTCTGAGATCTGTAGTGATGGGGAGAGGGTTCTGAGATCTGTAGTGATGGGGAGGGGTTCGGAGATCTCTAGTGATGGGTAGGGGTTCTCAGATCTGTAGTGATGGGGAAAGGTTCTCAGATCTGTAGTGATGGAGAGGGGTTCTCAGATCTGTAGTGATGGGGAGGGGTTCTGAGATCTGTAGTGATGGAGAGGGGTCCTGAGATCTGTAGTGATGGGGAGGGGTTCTGAGATCTGTACTGATGGGGAGGGGTTCTGAGATCTGTAGTGATGGAGAGGGGTTCTGAGATCTGTAGTGATAGGGAGGGGTTCTGAGATCTGTAGTGATGGGAAGGGGTTCTGAGATCTGTCGTGATGGGGAGTGGGGTTCTGAGATAAGTAGTGATGGGGAGGGGTTCTGAGATCTGTAGTGATGGGGAGGGGTTCTGAGATCTGTAGTGATGGGGAGGGGGTTCTGAGATCTGTAGTGATGGGGAGGGGTTCTGAGATCTGTAGTGATGGGGAGAGGGGTTCTGAGATCTGTAGTGATGGGGAGGGGTTCTGAGAGATCTGTAGTGATGGGGAGGGTTCTGAGATCTGTAGTGATGGGGAGGGATTCTGAGATCTGTAGTGATGGGGAGGGGTTCTGAGATCTGTAGTGATGGGGAGGGTTCTGAGATCTGTAGTAATGGGGGAGGGTTCTGAGATCTGTAGTGATGGGGAGGTTCTGAAATCTGTAGTGATGGGGAGGGGTCTCTGAGATCTGTAGTGATGGGGAGGGGGTT